TTATTTCCCTATTTATTTCCCTGTTTATTTCCCTGTTTATTTCCCTATTTATTTCCCTATTTATTTCCCTATTTATTTCCCTATTTATTTCCATATTTATTTCCTTATTTATTTCCCTATCTCGTTAACCTTAATTTCGGTAATGTCCACTAACAGAAATTGGTGATGCACTTGGCAACCTTAATTTCTTCGGGAATGTCCCATTGCAACGTAGATAATTACCAGAGGGTAGATTGTAGATGATATTAGTGGCTTTATCCCGTATATGTATATATATATATATATCGAGATGGTTCGTAAACTCTTCCTCAAATGATTCACAATCCAGAGTTTTTTTGGGTTTTGTCTGTGAGGTTCAAAAACAGGTTCCATCCAATGGTTTATTACCTCAAAATACTGGGAAAATTAGAGTCCAGGTAGCTTATTTTCACACAGAGCCAGGTGGTTCCTATTTTTGGTCGGAAAAAGATTAAAATAATTTGGTTTAACAATGTTTTTTTCAGCCTTGGATAGTGCCGAGTATATTTATATACCCTGCTTCCAAATAAAACTTCAGGGGTGCAGGTTATTTTTTGTTCGCATTAAATGGCCAGAAACCTTAATTTCTGCTTGTTGTTTGTGGATTTATTAGAGTTATCAACCATAGGATCACAGCCTTTGTGTCAATCAAATTTATCAACCACCCATTCATCAGATTTACACATGGAGGTTTCCTAAGTCATGGGGGTACCCCAGTCATCATCCATTTTAATTGTATTTTCCATTATAAACCATCCATTTTGGGGTGCCCCGTACCCCATTTTTGGGAACCTCCACATGGATTCTCGTCAAGAGCTCCACCATGTGTTTGAGTTGGTGCAGGCCCAATTTGTACCAATCCATCCGGGCGATCGAGCAAAGCCAGGTGCAAGGGAAGTTGGTTCATGTAAGAAGGGGTTCGGAAGGTACGCAAGTTGGGTCATGCCTCAGCTATCCCAGGCTGACGACATATTAATATACCATGACATATCTACCGATTGAGCGATAAACGGAACTGGAGGCCTTTTGTTGTGGCATTTCCGATGTTTTTTCCTGTAAAAAAGGACCCCAACCCCAGGAGGAAATCATAAGAACTGAGTTGTCCAGATGTTTACATAAAATTCTTACCTAGGAAGGATATGATTGTGTATTTCCCAAGTAATGGATCAACCACATATTGGATGTCCAAAATCATGTCCATTTGTGAGTCCAAAATCATTTCCACTACTTGGGGAAACAAGTTTCTTGCCAAAATTTGATGGTCGATCCTAAGCTTCTCTATTAATAATATACCCATAGGATCCATGTATGGTATATATATATATATGGTAACATTTACCATCAATATACCCCCAATGTTAGCATATATACCAGACCATACATGGATCCTATGGGATAAGAATGCAATTGTGGGAGGTATATTACTCTGTTTTCAGACACACCCAAAATCATCTTGTTGGATATACGTCCCGTAAAGTATAGCCGTATAGCCATTTACCCCCACTCGTATCCCATATTCAACCGGTATTCATTGATTAACCAGATTTAAACAGTAAAACACCATTATATAGACATCAACACCTATAATCACCTATATGTTCATTTTTTCAACATCCTTAAGTCAGATTTTTTTAGATCAACCGGGCCCCTATTTAGTCAGAATCCACGCGACACACGTGACACAGCGGCAGGCTCCAATGACTTGCATCTCCATCGCCCTTCAGGAGGCCAGTCGGGATGGTACCCATGGGATGCGACACCTCGGTACCGAAAGCTCTAGACTCTAGATGTGCGATCTGCGAACTTCGGACCGAAATTCTTTTTTTTGATGAGCTTAAAAAAAGAGCTGATGATCGTGAATTATCATGAATTATCATGAATTATCATGAATTATCATGAATTATTGTGAGATTGAATGATTGCTTCACCTGTTCAACGGGTGTTTTGGTTTCAAAAATAGCTCGGAGCAAAAATAAAGATTTGGTTGTTCGTGACAAAAAAGGACCAGATTTCTTGTTGGATTTGTGGATCGAAGTGGTGAGATTCAGACTGTCACTCTGAGTTCTTGGGATGACTGACTTACTGCTGCGTAAAGAACGCAGGGAATTTTCGGGAATGTCATCATTTCATCACTAGTAATGTCATCATCCCAGCAACCCCCAGCAACCCATCCAGCAACCCATCCGATCCATCCAGCAACCCTACGTAAAACGCACGCACGCACCAACGGATGTCCTTGGACCATTGCAGATCTATGTGAGTTTACCAGAGGGTAATGTCTACAATGTGAGGCCCCCAAACGTGATGTGAACGTTGGTTAACAAAAGCCCCAGTAACTAGTTATAGTTATAAGTACCACAAACAATAGTAATGTCTATAAATGGACCATTTCCCATGGCCATGTTAAATAACGAGAGGGTAGATGAGGGTAGATAATTTCTATAAATTCCAAATAATTCCAAAGAATTCTGTTCAAATCCGACCTTCCAAGAAAGCGTCAGTTGAAGCTCCAAATTTGGAAGCCGCGAGGATGTAAATTGCATCATATTACATCATATCACATCATATCACATCATATCACATCATATCACATCATATTACATCATATTACATCATATTACATCATATTACATCATATTACATCATATTACATCATATTACATCATATTACATCATATTACATCATATTACATCATATTACATCATATTACATCATATTACATCATATTACATCATATTACATCATATTACATCATGTTACATCATATTACATCATATTATATCATATTACATCATATTACATCATATTACATCATATTACATCATACTACATCATATTACATCATATTACATCATATTACATGATATTACATCATATTACATCATATTACATCATATTACATCATACTACATCATACTACATCATACTACATCATATTACATCATACTACATCGTATTACATCATATTACCCTGTAGTAGTTAGGTAGAATTGGAATCTGTGGCTTTGTATCCAGTATTTGTCAACTTCGTTCATTATGTCATTGGACCACCTGCCGTGGTTTCTTTCGGAATCCCAGGTCTTCCGGAATCGTGACCCTTTAGATGAGAGAAGTCGACAAGAATTGTTGGTGGCCGGTACTGCTCAGCATCGGTTCGCCAACGGGATTCGGAGCCCCGTTCGATGACGATAGCGAAACAAGTTGCCTAAAAGTGGTTGAAAATCTATGCTTGGCAGATACAACGAATTTTCATGGGCAAGGCAGCATCTTTAACCAACGTTCACATCAAGAAAGGGGGGCACCCTGGCGGATTTGGGCAAATTTTGTTCACAGATTCATGGATTTGGTACCGGATACATCCAGGATCCAATCTCCCACGGCGATGTTGGTCGCCGTGATCTCTGTTGATTCATGATGTTTAGCTCGCCGGATTCATGATGGGTTCCTACAGAATGAACCAGGGCCCCATTCCATCACATATTATCAATGGGAATTTCAGGATCTGATTTATTGGAGGTACCGATTCCATATGTAAGGCCTATATAGGCATATTTCTTAGGCCTATGTAAGTGAATATCCCCAGAAAATATGGCCTGAAATATGGTACAGTACCTCCATTTTAGGATCCTGGAATGACCATTGATATTAGGTTCATTTAGTTTTACATGTTTCATTGTTTGTGGTAACCAAAAAGCTGCGATATGAATACGATCTGAGACGATACCATTGCCTAAAGTCAGCATGTAAATCCTGCCATCTCTGGGTTCAACATGGTTTAGCCCATGTTTGTTGGTCGAAGAATGTCGAAGCCCTGTTTTTTGCTGTTGGTGAACTGGTTTTAGTGTGCATTTTCGTATCCTGCATTGAAATCACATGTTTTATTTATGATACGATAGATATGTTTTCGTCGTTGAACTGCTTATCTTTGTTGATGGACCCATTCATTTTCGTTGCTTAACAAACCCAGTTTTCATGGCTGAAAAAGCAACATTTCTGTTGGTGAAGCAGCCCCATTTCTCTTGTTTACATCCTGCATTTTTATTGGTTCAAACCCAATATCCTTGGTTAAGTCCAACATGTGCGTTGGTCAACCAATTATTGTATATATATATATGATATATGTATTTACATATATATATATATGAGACATACATACAATATCAAATATGTTCAGACTCTATCACGCTCTCCATTTGACTCTCTTTATCTCCTATCTTTGGTCCTTTTTTTTCCCCTTTCGTGAAGAAACGAGGCTTTTGCCAGAACCAACGATGAGAAATACGACTGGAACTCAGAGCGAGCCATGATGATCCAGTACGGTCAACTTGAGGACATGCTGTGGATGTGCCAGCGAAATTCACCAGTGGATAGATGGTAAACATCCCATTATTTTGTTTGGGATGAAAAGCCATCCGAACTTGGTGGTGCAGGATTTCGCTGGCCCATCCACTATATGGCATATATTTATCGTATATGTTCGCTACTTTAGCAAGTTTTTTGATTCGACATGAGTACACTCTGGTAAACTAACATAGCTATGGAAAATCAACATTTTCAATGGGAAAACTCACTATAAATGGCCATTTTCAATAGCTACGTTAAATTGCCAGAGGGTAGACTATAAGTTTTCGAGGGATGAGAATTCTGTTGGCGGCGAATCTTAGGAGCCAGGCAGATCCATCAAACATGGTGGCAGATCCAAATATTTTTTTTGGGGGGAAAATATGAGAACATCACCTACAAGGTGGTGCCTTGACATATAAATCATTTTATATTTTGTATATGTAATGTTATAACGTGGGTTAAGTAGATTTATAAATGGGGCTGTCTTTTACAAGTTATGTTGAATTTATATCAATAGATAGGGAGATATAACATGAGATAGCACATGCGTCAAAAAAAGATACAAAAAAGTTAGCAAAGATAGCGTTTTTTGGTTGTCGAGAACGATGTTCTTAATGATATCGCACTTTTGGCCCAAATGAAGCGGCAAAACTTGGAAAGCATGGCAGAAGCTGGCACGGCTGTCGCTCAAAGAGCGACACTGCAGGATTTCAAATCTTGCAGCCTTTTTTTGTCGGAAGACGTTTGGAAGACTTTGACGGCTGCGTTGCATCGCGCAGATGTGCTTGTGAACTATCTTGTTGATACCCTGGGCCTGCGGCATCCTTCGGAGCCGACCAATGCAGTGATCACTGCATTGGTGGCTTGCTGCTCTGGGGAAAATTCGATGCAGTTGCAAACCCTTTTGCAAACTGTGAAGTCGGTTTTGCGAACAAGGACAACAAGGGCCCGCATCAGCGGGCTGCCGTTGCCCGCTGGTGCTTACATTGAAGTTCTGCCGAATCAAGTGGATGAGTTACCATCGAACATTCGTGTGGCGGTGGCGCCGCAAGGCTTTGCGGCCATACGGGATGGCGTGGATCTGGCAACAGTGCTTCAGACTGCGCGACTTATCCCGCTGCGGTCAACGCATCGGGAAGTGCAAATGCAACGTCAGCTGCAGCAAGGCGTTCCCGCAATGCTGGGCATGCCAGCAATGGATCCTCGCGCTGCAGGGTGGCAGATGTTACAAACAGCACACATGGCCCAAACGGCTTTGTCTTTAGCCAACTCCTTCGCCATGGCGGGATGCCCGCGTGCGCCCGAGGGCGAGCTGAGCAATTTGCAAATTTTTCCTTCTGGCAATCGGCAGCGAGAAGCCCAGGCACCGTCGTCATCTGTTAGAGCGTTGATGGACCGTGCAGAAGCCACTGTGGAAACGCCATCAGTTCCACCAGCAGGTTCTACGCCAGCCATTGCCGCGGAGGCGCCCGCGCCGCTGCCGAGACCTGTGGCGGATCGCCCTGCAACGGAGGAAGACGTGGCTGATGGTGCCACCACTGGGGCGGAACCAGGTCCTGACACTGCGTTGGCGGGGTCCAATCCATTAATGCCAACGCATGTATCTGAGGCCATGGAACGTTTGGCCAAGACTTATTATGGCAAGGAGTTACCACAGTCTGAGGAGACCGCTGTGCCTGGGACGGCTTGCAAGCGTCCGGCGGCAGCAAAAGGTCGCCCGCGCAAGCGCCCGGCGGCTGCAATGCCAACTGCCTCTGCGGAGGCCGTGGACTGCAGCAAGCCCGTGGCTTCCGCCGACAAAGCGGCGCTCATGAGGAGACCTGCAGCGAGCTGTCACAGCGACAAGCAGCGTGGTCCGATGAAATCGATGAAGACTGCTGTTGCTGCTGTGAAAAAGAAACCGGCAGCTTCAAGTGCCGCTGCTGCCAAGACGCGATGCATTACACGCAAGCAGCAGCTCAAATGGAGACCTTCGGGCTGTGCTCGCTGCCGCAGAACCCCAGGATGTTGCCCCAGCTGTTGGGTCAAGCGTGGCTATGAGGTCGCGTGACTGGTGACTATTTTGTTTCAGAGCATGTGGCTGCTTCCAATTTTGATATGCTTATCTTTCGGCGCCGCAACTTGTGTTGGCCAAATGGTTGCAATCAGGGTTGCTGTTCTTGTTTGGGGTTCATACCTGTGCATGGTGTTTAGTCCTGTTTATTGAATAGTAGCCGAATGTGGATTTGTTTGCAGCTTTTACATACAATCAAGTTATTAAATACAATTCCCCCGTGTTTTCTGGTTCCTTTTTTGCTGCCATGGAAGCCAAGCATGTTGTGGCAACCACTCAGGAGGATGGAACGGTGCAGCTGGACACTGGTGACAAAACAGTGACGCTTCCATCTCCCACGCTTGCTGCTCTATATGCGTCTGGTGAGGCTCTGGGAGCCGGAAATCAGGACGCTCTTGCCAGTGTGGAAGGCCATGGTCTGCGTGACGGGCAGGACTTGTTCATAACGCAGCCATGGCGCCGAGCTGCAGTAACTGCAGCAGAAGCATTGATTGCTCAGTTTGAGCAACGCTCGGATATCGATCTGGATGATTGTCCGATTTTGGATGAATTGAAGAGCATTGTCACCAATGCTGCCACTGACATGGACATGGATGCGCAGCACGCAGGAGACATCTTGCACGGTGGGCAGATGTTTCTTTTCATCTGCGACAATGAGGAGGACCTGTGAGACGCAGCTGCCTCGCATCCGCCACGTGGAGATGGTCGCACGAATTTTTGCAGTCGCTTTGAGGGGGCGCAAAAAAAATGCTGCCGAACGTCACACCTGTCTTCAGTTGGTCCCCGCAGCACTGTCTGTTTGCAGTCTGTAGCCCTTTTCCGGGTGTGCATCTTCATGTCGTGTATGTTTGGCTCGAGCTCTCAGGGTTCTTGGGCGAGCGGTTTCTGTGCTGCTCGCGTGGGACGGAGAGGCAAGATGGCTGGGCTGGGTCGGGAAACGCTTTTGTGTTCTTTCCGCTATATATATTAAGATGAAGTTAAAAAAAAAATATATATATATATTGATATGATATATCTTTAGGCTATTTGTGTCTATACATATCGACTATAGCTCCGGCCTTGCCATTGGAGAAGCCAGGGTTAGAACATTTCTTCCACGGAGAAACTGCAGCTGTGGACAAGCTGCGGCTCTGCCCACGGGCCAGCCGACAAATTGGACTGGAATGGCTTTGTCTGCGGACAAGCTGCAGCTGCGCCCACGGGCCAGCTTCTACTGTATAGCTTTGTCCACGGACAAGCTGCAGCTGTGCCCAAGGGCCAGCCGTCATGTCTGGAATAGCTTTGTCCACGGACAAGCTTCAGCTGTGCCCAAGGGCCAGCCTGTCGGGTTTGCATTTGCTTTGTCTGCGGACAAGCTGCAGCTACGCCTACGGGCTGGCTACCTTGGCCCGACATGTGTGGCGCACTAGCTGCGTCTACGGACCAGCTGCGTCGACGGACCAGCCACGTCTGCGCCTACGGGCCAGCGGGCGCTTTGTATCCGGCATGGCGTTGCCTACGGGGGCTTTGTCTCCAACTCTTAGCATCCTCCCATTCATCCTCATCCTCATTATCCTCATGATTATCATCAATATATCACACGCATCTGTTATAGTTTCCAAATAGTATATAATGCAAGTACTTCGAGATTCCTTTCGGACCATCTTATCTTGCAAACCTCTCTCACCCTGCAGGCCACATGGTGTCGTTGAGCGCGTCACGAAGCAGGTCGAACAGGAGGAGTCCAGCGAGACGCACGTCACCGCCCGCAGAACCGAAAGCTGCGGTGGCTGATGCAACCCTGGACAAGACCAAAGAGGGTGCCTCTGCTCCTGGGCATCGCTTGGATGGACAGGATGGAAAGCGATCGAAGGGAAGCGGGGCCGTCGCCAACAGGCGACGCAAGGGAGAGCCGGGGACATGGCAATGTCCGGAATGTGCACGGGTGATAAACGATAACCCAAGCGCAAAGCAGCAGCATTGGGATAGCATTTATTGCCAGGCAACACGACTGTGCAACCAGCATGGTGGAAGCTGAGGTGGGACTGGAAAGCAAAAGTTGAGAAGAACGTCCACAAGGAGACATGGCACCTGAAGGAAAACCCCAAGTCGAAAGGTCAGCAGCAACCGCCAGAACCAGCGGTGCCTCCGCGAAGTAGTTCTTTGTCTAGCTGGTATGACAAGCCCAGGTATGATTGGGACTATGTGACCTTTCGAAGCGATCGGGAGCGCTCGCATCTTCGTGATCGCGGGCATTCCCGATCTGGAGAGCGGCGACGCCGCCGATCGCACTCGACAGATCGACGGGATCGTCGTCGCCGAGCGGGAAGCCGGGAGCGTGCGCGCTCCTCTGGTCGCAATCGAGAGCGTGAGCGCTCGTCGGATCGCAATCGGGAGCGTGCGCGCTCGTCTGATGGCCATCGTCTGCGTGGGAAGGAGTCCGTGCGGGATGCCACCCGCAGGCCACGGTGCGCCCATGGTGACGATGTGAGACTGGAGAAGGTAGCATCTGCGTATGCGTCCGGTGGAAGTCGAGACAAGAAAGAGGCACAAGCTGCCGGAAAAAGGGATGCCAAGGAGAAAACAAACGACACGGAGACAAAGGAACCCCGCACAGACAAGGTGTTGCCGGAGCAGGAAGAGGAAGGCGGGTCTTCGGACTATTCCTATACGTATGAGTCTTCGTCCACGGGCGAAGACGGTGCCAAGGAAACTCCATCTGTGCCAGCCACAGAGAAGGCTCAGAACCTGGTCAGTGCCAAGACTGGCGCCGGAAAGAAACCTGGACCGGTGGCAAGTGCACCAGCACCCGTCGCTGCTGCATCTGGTGCACCTGCGCTTGGCTCGAAGAAGCCTACGGGCAAGGTCGAATCGGTGGAACGTTTGAGCCTGTTGTACAATAGTTTCTTACGCACAGCTATGGAAGCGGTGCACGGAATGGAGTCTGGTGGCCAATAGGCCTTTTTGTGTCCTGATACAGACTTGCCAAACAGAGCACTGCGGCGGTGTCCCCGGGAGAAAAGACTAGCTGCCCTAGTGTCAACGGAAGAGAGACAGTGGATTTTGAAAACGCGTGTGTGTTTCCAAGCACAGATGCGGTAAAACCCAGAAACGCGCATGTGTTCCCTCTTCAAGACTCAAGAAAAGCATGGATACGCGCGTGTGTTTCCCGGATGTATAAAGATACTGCATAAACACGTATGTGTTTCCCCACCTATTAAGGAAACAGAGATTGTAAACACGAATGTGTTAAAAATGTGTTTCCATCCTCAAAGTCATGTCAATGAAATATGTAAGTTTTTCGGATGTGTTTCCACAAAAAGAAGGGAACGCATATGTGTTTCCTCATGAAAACATGAAAAATGCTAGGAAACGCGCTTGTGTTTCCACGTCTCAGACCAATTGCATGTGGAAACGCGCATGTGTTAAAAATGTGTTTTTTTGTGTTTCCTACAAACCCTCTTTCCGTAGCTGCTTTCCCCTGCTCCAGTCCACCTTGCTTCGCTCTGTGACAGACATGGCGTCTGCATCTTGTGACACGTCGAAGAATGCACTGGCAGATAATGATTCGGTTGCAAGTGGCGCTGGGGGGCCAGCCTTGCAGCCAGAGGTTGCCAGTTCGCAAGATATTGCGACGGAAGGTGCAGAGACTGCCGGTCCGGCAAGGGAAGATGCGGCAGGTGCCGAGCAGCTTGCCCACGGGCAGCACGCTGCGGCGCCGCAGCCGACTGGCTCGCAGCCAATGGCACCTGCGGAAGCTGACTCTCGTATGGGAAGCAGCGATGCACTGAAGGTGATGTGTCGGCGCTGTTCCATGGAGGTGAATCTTGACGATGCACTGGAGAATCCCAAATTTCGACCAGAGCTTCGTTGGACCTGTCGGAGTTGTCATGCGTGTCACACGCAGCTCTCCAGACACGGTATCCAACTGACAAGTTTGTTGACAGAAGCTGAGACGGTGGCCTTTTTTGCGGAAGCCAAAGCAGTCCGCGAGAACTCGCGTGACAGTCGCTTGTCGTATGGTCACGCAAGAGGATTGCTGAAACAGGCGATGATAGAGTCGTCATCGCGTGAGGACCGCGAAGGACAGCACGGGGAGTTTCAACCGCTCAGTTACTGGCAGCTTCGAGGATACAATGTGGAGAACATAGAGCTGCACGCTGAATGCAGGGACCACCCCATACTGGGAGCAACCTACAGAGTCGATATCACGAAGAAATCGACAGAGTTCATTGCGAAGCTGACCGAGGAGCGCATAGTGCGCATGGAAAATGAATGTCTGCAACGTCGGCCTCAGCCGCCTCAGCTGGCACAGGTGCCCATCCGGTTAGTTTGGATTTGCCTCTGGCGGCGCCCGAGCCGGCACCGCGTGGCGGCAAGAAGCGCAAAACTCCGGAGGAAAAGGCGCAGGAGAAAGAAGCTGCGAAGATCGCAAGGGAAGCCGCCAAGAAAAGACAGAAGTTGGAGGCCACAGCCGTGGCAGCCGCTGGAAAGCATTTGCCTGCGTTGCAGAAGCTTCTGACAAAGGTAGACGATGCCATTAACAAGGCTGTGTCTCTGAATGTTGTTTTGCCGCAGGACGTCGAAGAAGTCGTGACATCGGCGCGTGCTGAAATCGAGCAGGCCATCGGCAACGCCACAAAGATGCTCAATGGGGCGGCCAAGGGCCGTGGCTTGGGCAGCATGGCAACGGAAAGTCTTTTGACGGAAAAGAAAGCACAAGAACATCTCAAGAAAGGCCATGAGGCTGTCCGTACCATCCAGTCGATCACAAAGGTGAGCAAAGGACAGGCGCCGAAGGCCAAAGGGAAAGGCAAAGGTGCCAAGAAGGACTGAGCTGTTAGGTTTGATCCTTGCCAATATGGCGTGGGCTGTGTTCCTTCAACGCAGCTCATCGCACAATCTGTGCACTTATACATACTGGGTATGCTCCGTGCGGTCTTGCCGTAGCAACCCGTAAAGCACCAAGGCGTGTTTCCGCGCAGTTGGCCTGGTAGTGGACGCACGATTCAATAATAAGATGAAGGCATGGCTGCCAAAACAAAAGGCGCGAAGTTGTCCGGACTCTGCGCCTGATAAGGCTTCCCGCAGACATCTGTATTACTGTATAGATATATATATATAATAGATATTATATATGTTATCTGTTTCTATAGATAGATAGATAGATATATATATATATATATATATAATACGTCTCTATGTATATATTATGTAGAGCATGTATATATGTATATATGCTGGGATACGAACTTGACGTGCACCGAATCTATAGAAGAAACATGTGTAACTTTCCGACGGGGCAAACATTTTAGGAACACCGGCGTATGGAATTCTTTACCCCTGATGCATGCGTCTCTGAAATACAAGCAGAACTAAATACATAAATGGGTATATATATAATATATATATATGTGTATATATGAGAACGTCGACATAACCGAATCAAGCTTATATAAGCAACACACAGACCTGAAAAAAATGCGGTTTCTTCATACTATACATTCTCCAAAGCACAAGTGGTGGGTAGGGACGATGTCTATGCATGTGTGCATCTGTCCATTGCATCATGCCGTCTGACTCTAGATCTGTCTCTGTATATAGAATAAATAAATATATATATATAAATTATATAAATATATAAAATCTTTATTTATAAATGTGTCTGTTTGCAATGCCATACATATACTTCTATATCTATAAATATATATATATAGTTTCTCGTCTTCATTGCTATATTATGCGATTAGACTTCTTGCACGTCAAGCTAGATGGGTATAGGTCCAAGTTTGTCAGACAGAGTGCCGATGTCCGCGTAGCCGTTTTAGGAGGCAGCAGCATGGTATCGAAATGCGATGCCGGTGGTCACGGGCAAAGCTGTGGCGCTGCCCACGGGCAAATATGCGGTGGATCACGACGATCCGTCAAGCAATGGCACGGTATAGTCTACGGTCAGCATCGCTTCTACGAGACATGGAGCGGAAGCGGGAAAAGAAAGCACAAGCTTCTGGCGCTATGAAGCGCGCGGCACAAGAAGTGCTTGGTCCGTACCGTTTCTGCTTCCAGTCAGTCCATCTGCCGGCAGTCGATGCTGGAGAAGAAGACATTAAGTTTTTTGTGGCTGATGTTCGAAAAGTCTTGGATCTCGTGTGCAGGCGTTGCCCGTCAATGCAGAAGGTGCTGACTTCCACACCAGGTGGCATGTTGGAAGCTGTGCTAGCGCACGACGAAGCCACAGGAGGCAATGTTCTCAATCCCTTGCTGTCGAAGAAGATTTTGCTGTTTTATGTGACATTCACATGTTTGAAAGAGTTGTGGTTGTCACACCGCGCGTGGCTGCCTGTTGCTGCGATCACACATGACCAACTGCAAAGTTGCAGGGGAGGTATTTCGGGTGCGACCGTGGCGTTTTTACGGCTGTGGTCCGAGACAGTGCAATGCTCTCCGTTTCCGATTGGTACCGCGGGAGCACAGGTCACCGTGCAGTTGAAAGTCTTTATTTCTGATTTGGACTCACAAAGGGCAACAATGGTGGCAAAAGGTTCAGCTGCCTTGAAACCGTGCTGTTTTTGCATGAACTGCATTGCCAGGTATGCCGGAGAGCACTGCAACGATCCAGGCTTTAGAACTGTCGAAGAGCATGATTTCAAAACCTTTAAGCAGTATGATAGACAAGACTTAGAAAACTGCATGTTGTCTGGACTGCATCGTGTAGCGCAGATGACCAAAGCGGAACGAGAACTACGTGAGCGTGTGCTTGGTTTCAATTTTGACCTCGACAGCATTTGGGCTTGCCCTGTGAGCCGGGCACTAGTCCACATTGACATGATACAAAACGATGCCTTGCACTGCTATTGGAGCAATGGCATATGCAATTCTGAAATTGTGCTTCTTCTTGGCAGAGTAAGAAAAGAAGTTGGCATCACCCTGCCAGCTCTGCAGGACATGTGCTTGGCATCAGAGTGGCGCCGACAAAATAAAACGGAAGGCAAGCATTTTGTTCGCCGTTTGTTCAAGGAATGTCTGTTCGGGGAAGCTGGCTTCAAGGGCAGTGCAGGAGACACAGTCGCTCTGTGCGCCTTGCTGCGTTGGGTGGCTGAATCACATTGGCTGAATGTTCCCACATTGCGTGCCGCCGCAATGTGCTTCCTGCGGCTTTGCCGCGTGACAGACTTGCTCCGTGGTAGGCTGCCAGAGGAAACGATGTGGCTGGCACTGGCATCGGAACAAGAAGAACATCAGCGAAGTTTTGCTCGCGAATACCCTGGCTGTAGCCGGCCAAAACATCATTGCCGCTTACACCTGCCTCACCAATACAAAAAACACAACCTGGCTTGTAATTGTTGGGGGGTAGAGTCCCCCCACAAAAATTACAAGAGTTTATATGCAGACAGCATGCAGCAATTCCTGCAAAGACGGAACGGTGGCTCAGAGATGTCGCGGCACCTTCTTCCGCGCATGCTGTTGCGTGCCACTGAACTGCTGCAGGAAAGACCCTTGCTGCCGTGTGGATTCGAATTGCAGCATCCTTTTTCTGAGAACGAGGTCGAGGACGCAACCAACATGGTCAACACACAAATTTCTGGGAAGTGCTGTTTGGAAATGATTGATCTGCAGGAAGGTGACTACCTTCTTTACGGAGACGGCTGGAACAAGGCATGCCAAATTCATTTCTTCCTTCAAAGAAACAATCGCTTGTATTTCTTCGTTACAAGCTTGCATCTAATTACTGCAAAGGACTCTTTCAAAACCTTCCACAACAAAAAACAAAAAGATGTTGTTGAATACACGTGCATGACAAACATGCATGTGCCTGCATGGATCACTGCCAAAGGCAACGTGGTCATGTTTTGACCCTAAATTGTTCGCCTTTCGCGATCACAAACCAAAGAACAGACAGGCAATGGGAAAACAAAACAACTGTTCAGGCACACATGCAGGATTGAAAAACATAGTGC